ATACACTAAAAACCACTGAATTATATACTTCACCTTAACCTCACGGTGGGTAAGTTATATCTCACCGAAGCTGTTTTTTTTTTTTTTTTTTTTTTTTTTAAAAAGCTAATGAAAGTTGGGAAGTGGAAAAGGGGCAGAGAGGTGAAAAGAAGACGTAAAGTATTGATGTTCTGTCTTACACGTCAGGGAACTAAGAGACAATGTTGGAGGGAGGCTTCAACGTCTCATTTCAGGTGCAGGGGCTGGGCGGGTAGCGCCCTCTGGTCTTGATCCAGTGGTAGCGCACCTCTGGTCTTGATCCCCACTACCACGGGAGGGGCTGTCAAAGAATGCAAGTGGGAAGTAGTACTAGTGAGATAAGTCTTCGTCATAAGGAGTATATTTGATTTAAAGTGCATAAAAATTAAAACTAGAGATATATACATGTTATTTAAGGTTTTAAATAACATGTCATTACTTAGGATGACTTGTTACTTAGGATGCATCCTAAGTAACAACAAGAGGTGGTCAGCTGACTGTGGGAATGGACGTGGGATAGAGAGGAAGACTACTGTTTCTTTTTTTTTTTTTTTTGGTTTTTGGTTTTTTTTTCCGGTACCGGGAACTGAACTCACGACCTTGCGCTTGCCAGGCAAGTGCTTTGCCGCTGAGCTAAATCCCCAGCCCCGGAAGACTACTATTTCATTAAAGGTCCTTTTGTACTTCATTTTTTTCTTGTTTTGGGCCTGTAGTGTTTTAATGAAAGCAAAACCAAAACATATAGACTATGATTATAAAATTAAGGAAAATAAAGAAAAAGTATGCTAGCTTAAATGAACATAAGTTTAAAATATTTTTAATTACTGATTGAATCCTTGAAAGTTACAGAATACACTAATTAATGTCATGTGACAAAATTTTGAAACAGTATTATGTTCTATAAAGATTTGAACACTGCCACCTTGTGGCAGCAAAAAACAATGTAAAAATTAAGTGTATTATTCATGTGGTTCAGAATTCAAAAGTATTTTCTTAAACACCAAGTGATAAAAGACTCCCTCCAATCTTGTGCTTTACAAATCCAATTTGCTTCTATGGACAATCCAATGTTAACAATACCTTGAGTATATTCTTTCAGAGATATTTTAAGCATAAGTAAATGTGTATCTGAACATCCTTTTAAAATGTATGTTAAAATACCATATACAATTGTGCATTTTGCTTTATCAGTCTCAATATTTTGGAGATGTTCCTATATCAACACAAAAAATGTTTTTATTTTGAAAATAGGTGTAAAATAATCCATTATGAGATTGATTATAAACCACTCGCTACTGATAATTCCAGTTTTTCCATTGTATGTTGCCATGAATAAATTCGCAAGCATATTATTTCATACATTTTAAGGAGGATGCTTTTAAAATAATTTGATAGATTTTATTAAATTTACTTCCACCAGCTGGACGTGATGGTGCACACCTGTAACTTCAGCAGTCTGAGAAGTTGAGGCAGGAGAGTGCAAGTTCCAGCCCAACCTGGGCAATGTAGGGACTTGGTGAGCTCTTGTCCTAAAACAAACTAAACAGGCTGGGGATGCAGCTCTGTGCAGATTCCCAGGACCTCACACGAGAGTAGAGGTGGAAATGAGAGATGGAAGAAGGGAGAGGGCAGAGGGGAGAGGAGGGAGGGAGCAGGGGAGGGAGCAGGAGGAGGAAGCAGGAGAGGAGGAGGAGCAGAGGTGGGTGGGGCCGGGCGGGGCGGGGCGGGGCTAGGCAAAAAGTAGACAAAGAATTTATCTCCATGGTGAGTCTGTGCCAGTCTGCTCTGCAAACAGCAAGGTACGAGAGCACTGCTTCCTCACACCAGTGACGTTTTGTTACCCAGGCTCTTGATCTTTGTCAACGACTAGACTACAAACGGTTTCTTGCAGTTTTAGTTTGAATTTCACTTACTGGGGAGATTGCAGGTTTTCAGACGTAGAGACTGTATTAGTTTGCTAGCACTGCTGTCACAAAATACTGCATACTTGGTGGCTTAAACAACAGAAATTTATTGTCACAGTTCTGGAGCCTGGAAATCGGAGATGAAGGAGCTTTGAGCTTTCTTCGAGCTGCGGTGTGTCCACAGCGATTCTCCCCTAGCTTCTGATGGGTTGCTGGCGATCAGTGGCTTTCCTTGGCTTGTAGAAAAATCACTCCGATTACCGACTCCGTCTTCACATGGCATTCTGTGTGTGTGTGTGTGTGTGTGTGTGTGTGTGTGTGTGTGTGTGCGTGTCTGTTCCCAAATCTCTCCCTTTTCTAAGGACACCAGTCCTAGGATTTGGGTCCACTTCATTGATTTCATTAGTTACATTCTGAGGGTTAAACTTCAGCATTCGGCTTTTAGGGGAACAGAAGCCAACCCGTAAGAGCCACTTCCATGCTGTTAACTCTGTCCCTGTATTTCATCTAGTTTTGCACTGAGCCTCTTAAAACTGATTTGTAGGAGTTTTCCTGTTAGAAAATTGGCCCTTTGTATTAAGTGACTAGAAACACTCTTTTAGGCTAGGTGTAGCTTAGTGCTGAAGTGCTTGCCTACTACACGTGATGTCCTGGGTTCAATCTCTAGCTCCATCCCACCCCCCAAGCTTTGTTTTTTGTTTTTTTTTGGAGACAAGGTCTCATATGTGGTTTAGGCTGGCCTTGAACTCACATGAAGATTTTCCTGCAAGAACTTTTATTTGTTTATGTTAGTGAATTTATCAATTTATTTCTAGCTTCTGAGTTTTACACATGCCCACAAAGATCTTTCCCCACTTTGCAGCTATATAAAAATTATCCCAGGGCGTTCAAGTATTACTTTTATAGATTTAGTGTTCATTTTTTGTTTTTTGAGACAGGGTATTTCTGTGTAGTTCAGGCTGGCCTTGAACTCACTTTGTAGCCCAGACTGGCCTCGAACTCACAGTGATCCTCCTGCCTCAGCCTCCTGAGTGTTGAGATTACAGATGTGTGCCACCATGCCCGGCTTTACTGTTCATTTTTATTTTTATTCATTGGATTTTTCCCTGATATAAAGCCAGGAGATGTAAAGTCAGCTTTCTTTCTGGATGGCTCATCTGACTTTCGTTACTATTTCCCGAATCTTTCCTCTGTTGATGTTACCTCTCGTATACATCCCTACAATTGTTTGGGTCCACTCAATTTAAAAAAATGTCTCTAGAACTCTGGGGATAGCTCAGGGGTACATAGTGCCTGACTACCACGGTAAGGCTTTGAGTTCACCCCAGGTCCCCTCCAAAAGGCTCTAGCAAATTTTATTGAGCCAATTCCACACTGTTGTAACTACTGATTTGGACTTGCTCTTTTTCAGAATTTTCATGAATATTCCTTTTTTTTTTTAAAGTTCAACTTGGAAGAACTGACCTACTCATTAAATGTTTTAAGAAAACTGTGTAACTTTTAATTCCAGTCTCCAGTTATGTTCAACTGTAGCATTTAATTTAGTTATTCTGCAGCACCGGGTAACTTTCTGATTTTTCCTATTCCAGATTGTAATATAAATGGAATCATACTGTATAAATTAAATCTGGCTTATTACAGCTAACAAACATGCATTTGAATGCATTCATGTTGCCAGCTTTTTACTGATAAGGATAATCAGTTAGGTGGACATACTAGTTTACTCACCAACTGCAAGAACTTTGTTTGCTGTTGGGATTATAAATAACGCAGCTATAAGCATTCACACACAGGTGTTCACGTAGACAAAATTTCATTTCACTCAAGTAGATATCTAGGATAAGCATTGCTGGTTGCAGGATAAAGCACATGTTTAATTTTTTTTTTTTTTTTTTTGTACTGGGAATTGAACTCAGGACCTTGTGCTTGCCAGGCAAGCACTTATGCCACTGAGCTATATCCCCAGCCCCCACATACTTAATTTGATAAGAAATTGGAAAATTACTTTCCAAAGAGCCTGGGCATTCCACTAGCAATGTATGAGAATTCCATTTGTTCTGCATCTCTGTCAGCATTTGGAATTGTCACTTTTAAAAATTGAGCCATTCTAATGTGGTATCTCATAGCTTTTATTGCATTTCTCTCATGATGATGAGCTTCATATAAAACATATGAAAAATGTATTTGCCATTACATATTGCCTCATATGTGCTAGACAAGTGCTCTACGAATGAGCTACACTCCCAGCTCTTTTTACATTTTATTTTGCTAAATTGCCCAGGGTATCCTACAATTCGTAATCCTCCTGCCTCAGTCTCCTGTGAGCTAAGATGACAGGTATATGTGCCACCATGTCCAGCTTTATGTCTGTTCAAAATTTTGTTCCTTTTCAGTTGGGTTGTTTTTTAATTACTGCATTTTAAGAATTTATGTCCTGAGATTACAATGAGGTTGGAGACATAACTCCGTGGTAAAGTACTTGCCTAGCATACGCAAGGTACCGGGACAGGTCTCCAACACTGCCCAGAAAAGGAACAGGTGCGGAGGGAGGGAAGGGGGAGAGAGAGGGGAGGGAGGGAAGGAGAGCGAGGGAGAGAAGGAGAGGGGAGAGAGAGAGAGAGAGATTACACTGGTTCCTGCAGTAGTGTTTACCTTCTATCCTAGTCTGGAGCATTTCCTATGAAGTTCTTCCTCGGATAAAACTTCTCCTGTAGAGTACTTGCCTGTCTCCTGCATGGTACACATGCACACACACTGCTGTGGAAGCGGCTTGTCGGGACTGCTCTGAAGCAGCCGCGTGTCGGGAGCGCAAGGCCAGGACGCACAGTAGGAGCCGGTCCTCAAGGGCCACTGGGCTCCAGTGCTGAGTTACAAAAACGCCCACCTAGAACCCACAAGGGCCTTCCGGCCCCAACAGTCCTGTGTCATCACCACGGTCTTAACAGCAAAGCTACTGCTGCTATGTTGTTTATGTGGCTCAGCTCTAGTGCGCAAAACAGGGCAATGGAGAGTGGGTTTGGGACAATAACATGATGGGCACGCTGCGCAACGTTTTTAGTTATCTCTTCTCCATTTCAGGACCCACCCTTCGCTCGTGGCCAGCTGCTCTGACATCTTCCGAACCGGTCTCCCTGCCTCTACTCATCTCCCTGAGACGTATCCTCAACAGCGACAGATTTACTGACAAGTCCGAACTGACAATTACATCCTCCCACTTGAGAGTCCTAAGGGGAAGGAGGTCCTGCTCTTCCGGGAGATTTGCTACCATTTCCTCGGCCTCGCTCTGGGGCAAAGCACCCACCCTCCTCACGAATCTACGCCCCCATTAAAGAATATCCGCACTTTGTTCCAGGCAATGTTATTTGCTTCCTGCTATGGTCTAGTAATGGGGAATTTTAATTGTGAGTTTCAGTGTGCTCTAATGAAAAAGAATGTAATTCTATGTTTTTGTTTTGTTCTGTGGTTCTCCTCAGGACCTTGCACTTGCCAAGAAGGAATTCTACTGAGCTACACCCCAGACCAACATTTTCTTTCTTGCACTGCTGGGGTATTGAGAGCTTATAATACATTATATAAAAAGTGGCTGAAAAGCCAGGGCATCTGAAACAGAGCCGTGTCATGTGTATGATAAATGCCTACAGCAGAAGGCAGGCAGAGACTAAACATTAATAATTTTGTCTTAATCCAAGAAGACTGGAACACTGAATACTTCCCTTAAGGAATTCATTTTCTGGGCCAGGGTCCAGGCTAGCCTGGAAATCATGATCCTCCTGCCTCAGCTTCTTGAGTGCTGGGATTGCAGGTATGCAACACTGTATCAAGCAAGAATTATGTTTTAAAAGGTGATAATAGTACTGTCCTTAAGCTAAGCAAATCTTAGAATTTTAAAGGTATATAATGAAATGTTTGGGGTTCACAGCAATCCAAGGGGGGTAGGAAAGGTAGATGGGCCAGAGCTAAAACAAGATTGGTTATGTGTTGATGACGGCTGAAGGTGGGTGATGCGCACAGGATTTCACCCCTAATGTCGCACACGTTGAGATTCTGAATAATTAAATCAAAAGGAAAAAAGACGTGTTTTTACGTAAGAGCTGTGAGAAGATGTGAAAACAGAAATGCCGGCACCTAGCCTCAGACTCCATCTTGGAAAGATCACCCTGCCTCCCACGTCGAGATCAGCCTGGAAAGGCCGGAACGGCTTGGAAGGTGATCTTAACAGAATTTCAGGGGTTCAGGGAGACACGGTAACGCCAAGGAAGGAGAAACGGAAGGAAGTGCATGGATGCAAGAGCCGTTCTTGAGAACACTGGGGGGCGACAGTCACAGAGGCAGGACCATGTCTGTGGGAAGGAGAGGAAGGCCACGGGCGTGGGTTTGCACAAGCTGGCTTGCGGCTGCTTTCCAAACGCCCGCGTGGGAACTTCCTGAAGGCAGCATGGGGATTTCAGAGAACGCCCGCGGCCAGCCGGAGGTTAGCGGTACATCATAATCGCTGAAGTCGGTCCCGTTTATTTTTGTGTAAGATAAAGGGAGTTGGGTGTGAGAAGAGAACCTTACACTGAGACTTAAACTTTTCATGACCAGGGAGAAGGACATACTAGAAAAGACAGAATACTAGGTAAATTCCTGGGGGCATAGGGAGTTGGCAGAAGCGAGGATAGTGTGAAAAATTAGAAGAGAACGGCACGCTCTCCGAATGTTTGAGCTCTGCCAATCACTACCACAATCACAACATACTTGTGACTTTTCAAGAGCGTCCGAGAATGATGGGCAAACTATGAAATAGGCGAGTAGGATCTGCACAACTGAGGAAAACAAGCAGCCCTGTAAGAGCTCTGGTCGTGACGATTAAGTGGAGATGGGGCAGGACCTGGACGAGAAGGTAGCGCTTTCTCAAGACGAAGAGCTCCGAGAGCGTGCAAATGTTAGGGGAGGCGTCAGACGGACAGGGCACAGGTGCACACGAGGAGAATAGTGCTAAGGGTTCCTGGGAAGCAGCAGCAGACGGGAACTAAGACAGCGCTGCCTTGTTGTGAAGAGAAGATACATCTTTCAATGGAACAGGGACTCGGTAAGTGCTCTCAGGTTTCTAAGCAGGAAGTGCACTGGTTTTTCTTGTCACCTCTCGCTGAAAGAGGAGAGATCGTTTTCTAACGGTGAGGTGAATGCAGGGATTAGAGGTCTGAAAGAGTACGTCTGAATAGTTGAAGTACAGCGTTAAGTCTAAATTTTGGGGGGTGCTTCATCAAATATGGAGTGTAGTGTTTAACCTGTTACCATGTATCTATCGTTGCTTTTCCTTATTTGTTCATTTATTTATCCACTAATGACTGTTTCTCCCAGTAAACTAAACTGACAGCTAGCACATTTTAATTGGCTGTTTCCCTAAACTCCTTGCCAACCAAACCTGGGCCCTCCAGCACTGACAAATGTCAAAACGAGTAAAACTTCCGTATTTATTTGCAGCAAACCTTAAAGCAAACTTCTCTTAGGTGCTAATGTTTACTGTGTTCCTGAGATTATTCTGTGTGAACTGAACCCACGTGGTTACTCTCTGAACAGGTTTAAGCCACACCATCACCCAGGGAAGTACACAGAGGTGAAGTAGCTTTGTAAGGTCCCATAGGAGCAGCAGCACAGCCAACGAGTGAAGGCAGACAATCTACCCCAGGGTCGCTGCATGAGTTGTGGTGGGGCCTCTGCAACAACCACGAGCAAAAGAATGGATAAAAACACTAGTTATGGGAATATTACTTAGAATGGGACTAAACGAAACCGAGGGCATGTCTCATGTTCACTTCCACTTCTTTCCATCAACTAAAATGTATAATTGCTATTCAGGCAAAAGAAAACTTACACAATTATGTGCTTATCTAAACCAATGAACACTGCAACATGAATAAACCAAAGCATGCTCATAACTTCATACTATAGCTGACTGACCAAACGAGCGTAACTTACCTTTACGGTTCAGTTATTTTCTTTGTATAAACATTCATAGAATCATTTCAATAAGGTATGTATTCCCCCAAAATGAATTTTATCAGTAGTGTTAGGGGACTTTAGGTCATCTCCACTTCAGTTTCTAAAAGCGTTATTTAGAAAACACATAAGAACCTATTTCCACATTTTACAGATGTTAGACACTCAGATCTGATGGGGTGTTAAAGCATCAAAAGTGAGGAAAAATTAGGAGCATTAGTCTGCAAGGAACAAGCTATCTTTCCTCCCTTTTGAAAGCCTCCTAGACTTCAGATGCAATGAGGAAGACTTCCAATGGAAACTTTTCAAGGTAGTCACTACAATCAGTTCATCTGAGAAGTTGCATCATTATCACAAAAGTTTATTGAGTACCCATAGAACTCACGGCACCTTGACGGTGTTTACAGAGCTTTGCTTATATGCTGTCCTTGCCCGTTAAGGAGCTTACAATCTAGTGGAGAGAGACGGAAAAACGCAGTGTGATAGAGCAATGAGTGAACAGACACTAGAGACTGGAAAGAATTCCATAAATGTAAAACATCTCCTGCGAAGTGAGGGTTAACGGGGATGGCAAGGATGGCTGACAGACTCAGGCATATCCCTTTTCTTGAGAGATACTTACTCAAGGGACCTATGAAGTTGAAAAAAACCAGGATGCAAACAAGACACGTTCTGCTGCCTCTGGCTCCCTGCAGCCGGGAGAATGAGGAAGACAGGACAGAGGTAACGGGAAGCAAAATTTCAGTACTCTTCGCATGTCCGAGTCGGCTGACTAGAACAAAGCTACTGATTTCGGTAACTTGCTGTAGACAATCCTCAACAAGTTCAAATGTGGGCTGAGCTGTTTCTCTGCACCGGTTCTGTGTACACCTATAAGCTTCAACTGAAACATTAAGATGACCAAAACCACCCGTCAGTTAAAGATCCCTGGTCTGGGTACACAGACGTGGGGGACTTTCAGTTACATGGGCAGCACGCTTTGAACACTCCACTGGGAGCCACTGCGTTTGTGCAGAATACACCCGTTTATGGAGGAAGCACATGAGCAGACTGCTGGAGGTCAGCTGCATTTTGAGGTGAATGGACGGGCAAGCTTTCAGAACAGGAATTACGGGAAAATGACTTTGATCCCACCCAGTTATGGGTCAAAATGTTAAGAGAACTCCCTCTCTAGCCTAGCCACTGTTCCTAGTGTAGAAAGGGTCTCAGGATGCAGCTCCACAGTAGAGTGTGTACTTAGTGTGCAAAAAGCCAGGTAGATTTTCCTTGATTTTTCCTCCTAAACTCCTAGCTTCACCCCTGCCCCAATGTAGGTTTCTCAAATATCATTAAATGTAGAGATCACGCTTCTGCCTTTACTTGCAGCAAACTTTAAAGGGAACTTTGCTTAGCTGGTTCCTAGGATTACTCTGTGCGCATATACACACACACACAAAAGCAACTATGCAGGATCTGCAAAGGTGGCTCACAGAGCTCAAAACTTAGCAATGGAGCACAGGGCACTGGAGGCATTACTGGAAGGAAACGAAATCAAGTGACCCACAGAAGCTTGTGGGTTTATTACTGAAGCGCCCTCCCCCAGTACTGGGGGCTGCAACCAGCACCTTCACTTTGAGCCGCATCCTAGCCCTTTGAACAGGGTCTCGCTAAATCACCCAGGCTGAGCTTGAAGTTGGGACTCTCCTGTCTCAGCCTCCCAGAATGCCAGGATTCCATGCCAGTGGACATTACTTGTTTCAGGGTAAAACAGGCTAGAGTAAATCTTTCGTAAAATTAAAGGAACCACGGCCAAGGAATCAGCCAACTATTGCCATGATCTGACACGAGCTGAGTGCTGCCTGAGGCTTCATGTGTTGTAATTTCACTGAGGTATTAAGAGGGTGGAAACAAACTGTTGGGAGGGCAGTGATATGGAAATGATTAGGGCTACACAAGGTCACTAGAGGAGTCCCCACGATTAAATTCCTGCGTCTCTGTAAGAGGGAGAGAGCAGATGCACATAGGTACGTCCTGTCTCTCACCGCGTGACACTGGGCCACCACAGGACTCTGCCCGCAAGGACACCACCAGACGTGGCCCCATGACCTTCAGTCAGAACTCTGACCCAAAATAAACCTTTAAAAAACTTATCCAATGTGAGGTATTCAATTATCAATAGCAACAACAGGGACAAAACAGAATACGGCTATATAAATCAGAAGTAAAATACAATCAAGGAAAAGGGGATTTATGTTTGAAAAGTAATAGGGAAAAAAAGTAGAGGTAATAGGATACCTTTACGAAGAATGAAGGACGGACTGTCTGGAAAGGACTGTCTGGAAAGGCTAAGGACCTGGTTGCGGGCAGCATAGACACAAGATACAGGAACT